AAAGTGAAGATCTTATCAAAGTAAGACGATCACTCTTCTTAAGATCAAGTCAAAGCTCGAATCTCAAGGAATTGTCAGAAGCTCAGGAACTCTGCTCTGTCTGCTCTCAAAATGCTCCAAAATGATCATCCCCCCTCAAAAATGATCTCAGGGGGATATTTATAATCCCTGGACGAAATAGTGCTTCCGAGACAGTGTTTGCTGTCTCGGACGCCGAGACAGCAAAGACTGTCTCGGGTTCCGAGACAGTAAACACTGTCTCGGTTCCGAGATAGTAAATACTGTCTCGAAATCCTCAACCGCCCAGCAGTTTTCTTGTAACTGTCTTCCACACGTTTTACAACTCCGTTATTTTTGGTAGTTATCACGTGATTCTCGCCCACGACGTTTTCCACGTTCTTGAACAGTTGGTGGCCACGTGTCGTCGGTTACAAAAGGGTTTCTGACTTTGAAAAGCTGTCTCGCCTGCGAGACAGTAAACACTGTCTCGCACGGCGAGACAATAAACACTGTCTTTTGTGTTCTTTTGATCTCCTCTTGAGCTGTATTTGGATATCTTTTAGTATTTTTTGACGCCTACAAAAGTCATAGTATTTATTAGAATCGGTTGCTTTTCAAGCTTCCTCTAGATAACTTGAGAGGAGTTTTAGTTTTTCACTTAAGAGAAATTTTATCTATTTTGGAGGATCGAACTTCAATTTGTAGAAGTTCTATAATGCACGTGCAATTTATAAAAGTTTGTTAATGTAATTTCGAGCTTATTAAGCATTGAGTAAAATTATTTTTTAATGTCAAATGAAGTAAATATTAATTTATTCTTTAATTTTTCGAGCTCAAATAACTAAATAATTTTATTTTGACATTTACGTTTGTACCATATTCTTTAATTCTTAGCACCATATGTTAATTTTGACCAATTGACTTTCCATCAATTATTCTAAGTATCTGGAGTTTTAAAATTAAAGGTAAATTAGTTGCTAATTTTAAATAAAAAAATTAATTTACAATTTGTAAATAAAATTATATCCAACATATATAATATCAATTTTATTATTTAATTGTTTGATATATCGTTATAATATATGATTTTTATATTTTTAGTATAATCACAACATATTCCTGATTATTTCATCAAATTTAGAAAAGTAATATGACTACACTATATTCCAAAATGTATATTTTAAGTCTCTTCATCATTTTCAAGCCAAAGAAACGTTCAAAAAGTAAAAGAAGTATGTATACATGCAATTTTCAAAAAGTAAAACAACTATATATATGAAAATGAGTACACGTGCAACGCACGTGCACCATACTAGTATATATATATAAGTGGATAGAAAGTTTGGTGAGCATGCAAAGACCTCTTGTCCACTTAACTTGACATAAGTTCACCTGTATAGAGTTCACCTCTATATATATATAGAGGTGAACTTGTGTCAACTTAAGTGGACAAGAGGTCTTTGTCCACCAAACTTTCTATCCACTCATATATATATAAAAAGTCTCTTCATATCTTGCATGAATCCATAGGTATTATCAATGGATAAAAAGTTTGGTGAATGATCCACTTAAATTGATATACGTTTTTTCCCTCCCTCCCTCTCTCTCTCTCTCTCTCTCTCTAAAAAAGAGAAATCAATTCAAAGCCAGATCTAGAGAGAGAAAGAAAACCTAACTCGGATGGAGCAGTAACAGCACTCAACTCCCCCTCGCCTCGCCTTTTATATACGACATCGATCTCGATCTCGATCTCGATCTCAGTTCAAACAAGTAGGAAAAGCGAAAGAAGAAGCAAGCAAGCTAGGGTTTCCATTGTTCTCCACGAGGTTAGCTCCTTTTTATCCTCTCCTATTTCCTTCTAAATTTGCCAAGATTTTGCTCAGAGAGCTGAGGATTTTGCTCAGAGGGTAGATGAGAATATGCTCTTGTTCTCTTTCCTCTTTCGCGCCCTTTCTCATTGACGTCTATGTGGCACAATCCCCACCATCCTCATAAAGTAGGAGAGAGAGTGAGTTGGTGGGGATTTGTGCCTACTTTATGAGGATGGTGGGGATTGTGCCACATAGGCGACAAGGAGGAAAATCCCCTCCTATGACAATGATACACATTAATCTCTCTATATATATATATGAGAAATATGAGTATGCTTAGTACCAAGCACAAAAAGTTATGCTTGGTAGTGAGGTGTCACATCTCATTCCACTCATTCAAATTTGGGACCACATTCACATGTGTAGGGAGTGGATGGGGATGTGACACATCACTACTAAGCACAACATTTGTGCTTGGTACCAAGCTTGCGCGAGACAAACAACGTTTTTGTTGTGAAAAATAAAAGTGGACTAGGCTGAAATTGTTTGTGTCCATGAAGATCCTAATAATTATGCTGAGCTGGCTTGTGGAAGTATGGGACGTAGCAGTTATTAATGGTGAGCCTTGTTTGAACACGGGCATGCAGTGCGAAAAGGATTGAAGCAATTAACGATGGCATTAGAGAATGAGCCCATTTAGTTCAGCATGTATTTTTTTATTCAACTTATCAAAATCCACAAAAGCCCAAAAAATTTGGTTCAGATCGGTGACAGGTGACAACACAAAGACGTTCAGATTCTGACCTGCAATCAACGAATCAATGCACTTGAGGGTGTTTTGGTTTGGTGTTGTTGATTATAGATATCGATTCATCAACAGTGCAACTTCTAACTACATTCAGCGACTGTTTGGTTCAATAATCTACACTTTTTGCTTTACTGTAAATCTCAATTTGTAGCCAATAAGTTATCCTGATTTGAATGTAAGCTGCAGTTGTAATTTTTTTAAGCTACAAATGCAGTTTAAATTACAACTTCAATTGCAGCCGATCTATAGGCGCTGTCAAAAAACATGACACCAACGATTCCATCATAACACCCCGTAAGAAGTGGTGATTTATACCATTCAGAGGTGGTTAGAGGGTTAGTTTGGTAATTCTGACTATCTTGTAAACGGTGTAAGTCAATGTATTCCTATAGGGATGATTCTAATAGGATCCCCAATGCCCAAAATAAACATCTACAACTATACTACGATTACAATAAGTGTAGTTATGCAACTTACATTTGTATTTTTAATTACAATTGCAACCAACTATATCATCTACATTCACAAGCAGTATACCCCCACCCCTAAATTTTGGAATTTTTTCCTCTCAAAGAAATTTTAGTTATTTATAAATTACATTTAAGGAGGTCCAGAGAGAAATGTTCAAAGTTCAGGAGAATTTTGTGAGACGCCACAAAGATTAGTGGGGCTACGTGAGATAAACAAATTCATAATGATCATGCGCAACGCCCCCAAAGTTCAGTGGGTTTTTGTGAAATTAACACTTTAAAAATAATATTTATTGATCGAAGTGATTGTGCGTAACTTATAAGCAGCTATGAAGATCATTTATTAATTACTATTTAATAACGTGTTACCCTAGATTCCAATATATTGTCAGAGCTGCAACTATTTTGACTGTAGTTGTAAGATGTCAAACTTCAATGCTGCGGTCTAATTGTATTTATATTCAACCCCAATACGTAAATAAATGTGATTGGTCCAACCAAAATGAACTAAAGACGCACGACATGTAAACTTTATAATAACTAAGTTGACATACATCAAACTTAATTAAACAAATGCACAAATGGAAATGTGAAAAATACACAAAATTGAAATACATCAAACTCGTTGTCGACTTCTAATTAGACTGCAAATGTATTCTTTCTGGTAAGTATACTTATTTTGTTAAATGAATGATAAAACGTGTAAGTATACTTATTTTGTTTTCAAATAGTGATAAAATAAATTGTAAAACGTGTAAGTATACTTATTTTGTTTTCAAATAGTGATAAAATAAATTGTTGCCTGCAAATGTATTCTTTCTGCTATGAGAGTTCATCTCTATTCTGTTTTGTTAGCACAAACATTTTTCTGAAATCTGATCACAATAACAATGCTATTTTTTTCGGTAGTCTTTAAAATATGCAATTTACCATGGAAAGTAAATATTCATCTTCTTATTCTGATAATAGTAACAAAATTACATTCATAATATAATACAGTTAGCACTACTAAACATACTCAGAGCTTGACTTGAATGCTTTGATAAAACCACATAATTTACGAAGGGAGCATGAATGCTCTGACATATTTATTACACACGGAATGCAGACTGAATGCAGATGACCAATGCAATGCAACTTCTTGTTCTTCATAAATCATCACCAACCTTCTATCTCTGGCCTCTCATTTGGACCAATAGAAGGATACCCCCACAAAAAAAAAATTACTGTAGAAGGAATGAATGAGCATTAAATTGATTGATGAATATATTTGGTTTATTTTACAACCCTTGAAATGATATGGAGTTATAAATGTATATAGCAGTGTTCATATACACATCTAAAATTTGGCAAGTAAAAATTAATGGAAAACTTACTGATCAGAAATATGGAAGTTGTTATCTTTCTATTTCTTTCTATTTTCAACTCCTCATTTAGAAAAGCAAGAAAAACCCATATGCTGTGGTCAATGCATTCACATGAAGAATATAGGTAGGTACAAAAAATAAGAATCCGCACACATACAGGAATCAAATTATACTGTACACAGCATTTAAATGAATCCAACTGTGAACTGACACAACTCTAAATGCAGGATATGAACATGTGCCAGCTTCATTGAGTTGGTTGCTAGCACAAGAGGAAAATTTAATAGCAAAGGTATCATCGTAGAGAGAAGGAATACCCAAGATTCAATACTCTCTGATGATGTCACGCAATTCAAGAGGATGTTTATTGCTCTCATATACACATTGAAATTACAAATTGGAAACACAATTTCTCCTCCACGTACATATTATTATAGGTGACTGCTACAATTGATGGTTTTTACCTCTTAAAGAGTGGTAATGGAAATCCAACACTGGAGGAAAAGGATCATTTAGTTATTTCATCGAATTTGAAATAAGATTTTGATGAATAAATATTGGTTAATATACATTATGAAGCTATCACAACTGCATAATCATGTGAATAAACAAGCATCGACCATCTTTTTACACAAGTGAAGTCAGAGCATTTGCCGCCATCCCTCATTTCTCTTTCTTGGCCTCAGGAAAGAATTGCAACACTAGCATCCTATCAGAAGCAAGGAAACCAATGTTCAATCAATTCAACCACTAGAAGATTACAATGGCTGTAACCAATAGTCAGTGTACTAAATAATCAGTAAAGAAGTTTCTGACAGTAGTTGTTCTTAAATACTAGCATACACATGGGCTGTATGCATCATTGCTAACTAAAACTGCTAATTCCTATTAAATCACTATATACAAGAAACCAATGCAGATGACACATAATTCTCGTGTGAACCAGACTAGGGAATATAGACATAAATGAATAAAAGGGAATGCAGATGACAAATGACGCAAAGACGACATTTACTTTTCTGTGATAGATTGTTGTGGTTTTCTGTGTTTCCGATTTGCTCTTCTTGTGCTTCCCTATTGCAAGTACGGATCTAGTTGGGTAGGTCTGGGCAAAACGTTCACAAAGATCGCCAATTGAGACGATTACAAACACGGACCTCATATAGCATTAGTTTTAGGCAGTGTAGGTGCTAACAAAATAGTTTAGGGAGTGGATACTCCCTCGCAGTAAAGGAGAATCGGTTTATCACTAAAACATATCCGTTCCATGGACTACACATTATGAGGTCATTCCTTTATATCAATATTTCCTAATTCAGCTTATGCAAGGGAATCTATTCATCACTTATCACAACCTATACGTTAGAAAGAAATCAAGGGGGCTCA